CTATCTCGGGTAATATGTAAGAGCGCATGCGTACACACTCGCAATTGGGAATGGAAAGGGGAAAACATACTTAACAATTTCTCTCTATACCAAAGCGGTAAACAGAACTATCTCAGGTAATATGTAAGAGCCCATGCGTACACACTCGCAATTTGGAATGCAAAGGGGAAAACATAATTAACAATTTCTCCCTATACCAATGCGCTAAGGAGAACTATCTCGAGTGGTTGGGTTGTTGAATAACAAAACTATACAAAACGCTGTTGTAAAACGGTTTTTCCAACTATTGCAGTTTTAATGACGTTTTATACTCACCAGTAATTCTGGCTACACCTTGAAAAATTCTACCAACATTACCAACTACATGAGCCCCCAAATCAAATCCGACTAGATGAAGTTTTGTTTTGCTTATTTTGTTGGAAATAACCATCAGTTTCAGGAGTTCTGCCACATTATCTGCAATGGCGGGCACGGCCTCGGAAGCCATGTTGCTGCCAGCAGCCACCGTCCAATCCACAACAATAACGTTAGTATTCCCGCTTCCCAAAAAAGCTGAAACATATATTTACACATTTGTAGAGGTTGAAATGAGCGGACTGAATATGTAGATAATATATATACCATCTCGTAAAACTAGGCTCATAGAATCGGTTCCTTTGCCTCCATAGCCGTGCACGATGACAGCGCAAATTGTTCCAGAATTGATTGTGAGGGGTTTGACTGAGTCCGGAGTCGCTACTAAGCTTTGACCAAACTTATGATTAGTTCTAAAAGAAAAGCACATTATAGATGCACCACATTATACTACAGTCGAAGTCGAAATAATGTCCACACCTATTTCTAAGGCATATAATACGACAGATAAACTAAAACATTGAATTTAAAGTATTACTTCATCAATTTTCTAAGAGTGAAATATTTGACTAACACAACTTACTTTGTATACAATATATAAGAACTAGAGAAGAGTTGCGATGCTTTTCGTTTACCGAGTGAGGCTGAAAAAAGTATTGATACGTAAAAAAATACTTCTATTTACTATTCTTTTATAATTTACTTTTACGTCTTAATCTTTTAGAAATAATTATGAAACAATAGTGTCAAGTTAATAAAACAAACGATGTTGATCTCCTTGTTTATACAAGCACATACTTACCTGCCAAAATGGCGAAACAAAATAATAGAACTTTAATCATTTCAATAGTCATCTACTCTAAATTGCTTTAAACGTAACCGTTTGTTCGCTAGACAAATAAAAACAAAAACATAAGTACCTAGATTACAACCAACTTAGATTTTTTTATATTTTTTCATATCGTTGAAATGCAAGTTTGTACTATTTGAAAGTTTTTGTGAATAATAATCATGTAAATACTACGCTTAATGCAAAAAACAGGGTGCTTCAAAAAATATTTTTTTTGTTTTGGAACGTGTAAAAGTACTGCTTAAAACCTGAGATTTAGTTCCAGATATACGAGTATGTATAGTTCATATATATTATAGCACTTTAGCGACGTATTTGTATAGAGTAATAAAATATCAGTGCGCGTCAATGTCGTCATAAAGATATGATACTTGCTCAGGTGTGGCCCAGTGTATTTAATTTATGCTTATGTCATATTTTATATCTTGTAAAATTTATCAATTCTATAAATCCATATAAAATAATCCGTGTTCGGCAAGTTTCCTTTGAAAGATTAAAAGTCCATGTTAATTGTATCAGATATGGTTACTGTAGTCATATCTTGAGGTAGAATCATCTAATTACCAACGAATAAAACAAAACATTTTATTAATTTTACTTTGTTCTTTCCGAAAGGAAAAAGTAATTAAGATAATTGTCACAAATTGTTTGCCTGTCTGTGATACTGAGATTATTTATGTACTTCATACGTTGAATTGTGAGAACTTTTAGTATTTAAAATAAATTACGTCTAAAGTCTGACATCATGTTGAGTAGGCTACACTAATCTATCCTTAACATACTTCAAACCTAAGGGAATTAAATTAAATTCAATTAATTAATTAGCCATCAATCTCGTAGTTTGTATAGCTGTTAGATGATCAAGTACCACAGAGCGCAACCTTGAGATATACGCAGAAAATTTATTGTAATGACTTTTATTCCTCCTAGTTAGCCCAGTATTTTTTAAGATTGTGACGTACACTTAGCAGTATGTTTGGCATTGCTGTTTACATTTGAAAATTCTGGATTTTGAAGATCTACGGATGCCGTTCACTTGTTGATGGTACTTGCTTCCGTAGGTTTACCCGCGTGACCCTACAAGTGACCCCTGGATAGGGCTGGACGAGTGACAACTCTACTGGTGGTAGGCTTCGACCGCGGCTAGTTACCACCCTTTTTTTTACGGGGGGAAATCTTTATAGATACCCCAGAGCCCAGGGAGACTCAAGGGTTATGTGGGGATTCTCCCTCCAGACTGGAGGGCCTACCCCACTAAAACTCCCCCGGGTTTACCTCCCGCCGGTTGAGGCAGCGCAGTGGGGTTGGTGCACATACACCACGACGCCGCCCGGCCGTCCTAGCTTGCGCCAGGGCTTCCGCGCTAACGGAGGGGCAGGTCAGTTGTCTTCCGATCCGCCCCCCAGACGAGTGAGGCCGTACAATGCAGGATCCGGAGTCCCTGTCCAGAGCCCTCTGGCCTCACTTGGGGGTCAGGCGAGCAGCGAACTGCCTTCGCCTTCTCCCCATACGTCTGCGGCATAACCTCCCCGCAAAAGGACGCCACCGCCACCCAGGACTCCTCTTTACCGAGCATGGCGGCAACCATGCCCAGTCAGCACATGCACACATGCACAAGGTGGTACTACAGTGGCCCGTGGGACCGGCTCAACCACTCTACGAGGACAGGACGGATCGCCTCTATGGTACGAGCTCCATAGGGGGGATCCGCCAAGCCCTCTTTCCACCGGTCCCGATTGCGCTGGTCCGAGGTGGCGCTCCCGCTCGACCTCTTGGGGAGCAGGGCGCTCGGCACGGTCCCTCATTCCCCGCCAGTAGGCGTGGACCTCGCGCTATTTACCACCCTCCTGAATCAGTTGAGTCGCTAAGCGGTTTTTTCGTGTTCCGGCTCGTATGCGGGAGTTGCCATTTAAGAAGTCGGTTCTGACAGTTACATTGCGTCTGTCGACGGTTTCCAGCTGTTTATACTTCCACATCGGGTGCCTCGTGTTTTGGATTAGCGGGATCCGAAGAAAGACGCACCGCTGGCCGTAAGAAATTGGGAGCCCAAGTACGGCCTCGGTGGCCCAGCGGTTAACCCAGTAGGATCAATTCGGGAAACGAACTTTTCTTAATTGGTTCTGGCCTGAGAATTCTGGGTAGTATCTCGGAGTTCATTTCGTTGTTCTGGTATTTGTATTATAGAAGTTACAATCTGCATTAATATAGGTATTCGCATAAACTCTCCACTTACGGGAGACACGTACTTTGTAGTGCGAAATATATGGGTTAATGATGTTATTGAGATAGTATTATCGAACGTAGGCACAATGATCTTTATCAGTAATGTTATTGTTATATTCAACTGATTACCCAGTAAACCTATTTGGATAATAAAACACTGATTATAGTTAATCAATTTATAAAAAAAAGATATATTGAGCAATTATCACAAATATGTATTATATTCAATAAAAAAAATGTTACATAGCTAAGATTAAGAAGTAAGTTACATTATCGAGTTCTTAGGTTTTCGCAATTGTTACAAATAGGAAATGAAACTATTTTTACGAAACGTTGGTTTGTTTGAAAAAAAAAAACAAATATAAACGATTTAAATCCAGAAAAATGTTTCATTGCCTGTAAGCATTGACTTACAATTATATGGACGTCGGGTCCGCGCTAAAAAGTGCCCGAACTTATAGGACGTTAAAATCGTATACAGAGCGTCATTCACGCTTCAGTCTTCGTTTGTTTCTTCTGACAGCGAAGCAAGCAAAATTAGACAGTACTACGATGACATTACAATTTAAATTCAACGTTTTAGCTTTTTCATATTCCTTTACATGTCACTACGTTTAAATAGGTTGACTTGGGACATTTTTTTCGTGGTTTTTGTATTAGACCCGTCGTCCATTTATTTGTAAGTCAATGCCTGTAAGTTAAATTGTTTTAGTAAGGGAATGACCTTTTCGTGTTGACTCTGAAGATTCCGGACCTGGAAAGTGAAAATTATTATTAAAATGATGGAATGATTATCTTTTGACAAGATTCAAGAATAATGTATTTTATTAGCAAATATCAAAAACCGAGGTACCTACTCAGGTTAGAAAATGTAATTGTATTATAACATGGTGTACAATCTATGTCCAGTAAATTGTTATGGTACTGTTATGAAGTAATGATTGAAAAAGCAAACTTTAAAGCTATGGAAATATTATTTAAGTACTTGCTTAAAACAGAGATACTGTACCCAAATTTGACCAAGTCATTGTTGCCCATTGCCAAGGCGTAACCTCGACAACGGTTAGTTGAAAGCTGTAAATTGGAAGAACATAGATTTCCAGTCAGGTGGTTGTGAGTCAACGAGGCTGCGAAGAACTCCCACGCGCGGTCGTGACTGCATTTGTGTGTGAGACATCCAGGCTGGTTGCCACCCCCGTTTGCAAAGAAGTCCACATGGCCAATAGCTGTACCAAGACCGATAGCGAAAATTCCATCTCCATCAGTATGAATTATTTCAACATAACGGGCATCCGATGAACCCAGGCGTTGAGATTTGCTGCCCCATTGGTTGCTAGTTGGGTCCAAACCTTTAACAATTTTCAAATTTTTTACAGATTCGATTTTTTTAATATGTTTTTATCGATCAACAAGTTTTGTACAACCAACATTGTGATAATACGTACCAGTAATTCTAGCAACTTGTCCTGATAGGGTTCTTCCAGTAAAGCCAATAACGTGGGCTCCAAGATCAAATCCGACTAGATGAAGTCTATCCAAGGACACTTGATTCATATCAACCAACAATTGGATGAACTGAGCCAGTACAACTCCAACGCTTGGCACTGCATTGACTGCGTTGCTATATCTCTGCCCAGCATAAGTCGACCAATCAACGACGATTACAGCAACATCATCACTCGTAAGGAAAGCTGAGTGGAAAATATACATGAAAACAACGAGTACTGCGCTAAAGATGATTGCAATTAAGTTGAAATCTTTTTATTTGTGTGGTTACATTGTTATAAGTACCTACTTGAAAACAGTTACAGAAGGCGTCGTTGTGATACTGGAAATGAGGTTATTGATTCTGATCTAAATCGCGAATGTTTTTTCAAGCAAACACGTTTTACAGGTTGCATAGTCATGGCTTACTAACACTGAGCCCAAAACATTGAATTGTTTAAAAAACCAATATACGGGATTTAAAAATAGTTGAATTTCCAATATGTAACAACCGCGAAAACATGAGAACTCGAAATGTTTATATTATTCAGTTTATTGTTGGAAAATGAGGTCAGAAATATGAAAGCAACATTACGGATGCATTTATCCGTATACTTACAATCCTTGACAACTGGATTCAGTGTTGTAAACGCACTGCCTTCGTGTCCATGGACGATTATGGCCGTAAATGGTCTAAATAAACCACCTGCATTCACAATTGAATTTACATTTGGAAGTATCTGTGTTGGTACCCGTGAATTGCTTCTGAAAAACCATTTAAAAAATATTACTTATAATTTGTTACCAAACGTAATTAGATTTTTTTACTTGATTTAGAAATTTTATGAACCAATTTTTTACTACTTTTTTTTTATTATTGATTGCATTGCCACGAACGAAGCTGATAAGCTAAACTTACATTTGCAATTAATTAATGGCACTCGTATGTGGTTTTCAATGTATGTTGATACTATGTTTTTTTTATGAGCTCCTTTATGAGGTGCTGTAGCGTAGTTTGCTTGGCTTTTGATCTTTTGACCGCAGTAGTAAAAGCTACAGTCATAAAATTGTGGACTTACCTTGAGTAAATGTAATACGTATTCAAATTTCCATGGCGGGTCGTTTCCGACACTGAGTTGCCTCGCACAACTGAAATGAAAATGTTTTGTTTAGGATTGGACAGATATGTGGACAACGTTAAGTTTCCTAAATCAGTCCGTTATTTACGTATTATATACAGTTTCTTTCACAAATGTCCGGGTTATGATACATAATTAGTACCATAACCTATGCACAACCAATTTTTATTTAAAAAAATCCTAAGGTAGTATTCACAAATTTCAAAATCTCAGCCTCATTGTTCTGCAGATTTGCGTGTCAGATCCAGCACTGTACTGGAAAAACCACTGTCAGTAAAGTGAACTCCCCATTAATGTTACATCTATTTTTGGCCTGTATGATTAATTTAGTTTTAATTTAAAAAAAAATCTTAGTAGTAACATATGTTTTAAAATAACATTATTTCAATAAGGCTGGAACTTTTTGTTGCCTGCGAATTATTATTATGTCGTCCTACCCATCACAATTGCCGTAACTAGCATTAGGTAAAAATTTTTCAGGCCAACCTATTTTTGGTTCTTATCACTCTTATCAAGCGCATTCTATATTCTAATGAAATTTGACTTAAACTAAATCGTGTTCTCGGCTCTGTCTGTTCTTCCAGCAACAGAAAAGGATAATGCCACTTTTTTTACTTTTATTTACCTATGGCTTCCATTTTTAAAAACATATTGTTGCAATTATAAAAAATGAACCATAGACTAAATTTAATTGGCTAGAAAAGTTAGGGATTGAGAAATATTTTTGTGTAAACCAACACATTCTCTCTTTTGTACTCCACCATTATCCTCTTGCCCCTATCCCTTTGTTCGGGGTCGGCGCAGTGTCTTTTGTTCTTCATAATTCTCATTCTTAAGTTCATTATTATAGAATGAGATCTTTAAACGGATTTGAGTACTTCGTTGTTTGTCAGCGTTATCTTTAATATTAGAAAAATAAATCTTACCCGCAAGAGTAATGGCCAACAACCCAACAATCTTGTACATCGTGAAATTTCTTTCTCTGTCACTTGTTGTTTTCAATTCAACAAACAAAGAGTATTTCTCTATTTAAATAGGATCGTTTAAAGCTGATAAAGATTTCCATTAACATTTCCGTTGTTTGATTTAGTGATTAAGACGAAACTTATTCATTAATTAACATCTTATCGAATCTTATTGTACATAAATCATCATCAATCATTGTTTCTTGGTAGGTGATATTGTAAATGTACAATGTTGTTCTTTTAGAGTATTTGTTTTTTTATAATATCAAGTGACGAGACGAATAATTCGTGCACCAGATGGTAAGCTTCACGCCTGTCTATAACAGATGCAGTGCCACTCAGAGCTTTAAATCGCAAAGATCTGCGGGGCATTTCCACTGCGCCCGTCATCTTGAGACATAAGTTGACAAGTCCCATGTGCCTGTCATTTCACTAGCACCCTTACCCTTCTAAGCCGGAACGCAGTAATGCTCACATTGGCGGTATAAATAAGTAAATTACTTCTCTAAACGAACTCTTTCACAAGGAGCTCTACTGCTATTAAAAATCCACAGGTTAGTTCAATACAAAGTACTGCAATTGTTATTTATGGACACGACTTGTTCGTTTTGTACTTGGTATCATAAAAAGATGTCGCTTTTAACATATTACATGACTATTTTGAAGGTATTGTTAACAAACACTTTCGTCGTTAAAAATGTTTTGATTTTTAAACCGGCTTCAAGAAAAAGTCACGTAAATTTAGCCGTGGGGCGACGGCTTAAGAATACATTGTCGCCTCCCCATACATGCCCGTGGGGGTCGTAAGAGGCGACCGAGGGCGTCACAAGTGTCCATCTGCTTAGCATTGTGGTAGGCTCTGTGCCGACTGGATAGCGACCACAGTACACACGGCGGAAAACTCTCCACAGTGAAGCGCTTTTGCGAATCGCGTTCAGGGATCAGTTGGTGTACATCCAGTGCATTTGGCCAGACCGGCAAAATGATAGTGACGGAGTGAAGATATTTGTGTTTTCCATCCGTTACTCTCATCTCTGGACTGTATTCGCACTTTCCATCAGGCGCGGTGCAGTCATTTTGTCGAGTCGCAATAAAAAAAAAAAAAAAAAAAAAAAAAAGCTAATAAAATTCTACCCCCCCTTTTTACATCATCCTATAGGTACACTGCACTGAGTGTAATCAATTCCAACAAATCGACTCAGCGCATTGTGTGCGGCGACATTTATACAATTTTTATTTTATTTCATTATATTTTATCGTTTTATTCGTGTCCTCTATCAACGTTAATCATGCTTACGAGGAAAGCTTATTCAACATTTTGTTATCTTGTTTTCAAATGTATGACTAAATGACGACATAATGAAGTTTTTGAAAAGGGTGTGATGTAGATACGTAATATCGAATAGAATTATGAAGGTAGTAGTATAAGTAGGAGGATAAAATAGAATAAAATATCAATCAAATCAAAAATAAAGTGTCAATACAACAAAAAAACACATTAACTTCTCGAATAAATACGTTAATTATTAATAACAACTTGTAAAATATACAATATGAAACTATTATATATTTTTTTTTTGAAACAAATTAATTTTCGATATCTTTTGGGACTCTCACAATTTCTCAGTCAGCGGCTCTACAATACTTTAAAGTTTTTAAGTTATAACAAATTCATAGAATTACAAATAAATACCATAACACTAGAACTATTTGAAAACAGCTTATTTTGGCTACTTAAACAGAGAACTGAAACTACAAACAATATCATCAATATACTTTCCTAAAGCCACTGTCGGGGTTAAGCCTCTCTCACTTGCCAATCTTTAAACAAAAGAGAAACCAACAAACCAAACAATGTATTTGAATAAGTTTTAATGGAGTTTCCTATTTATTTAAGGGTAAACCTCTCCACGGATCCTAAATAGTTTCTAATTTCGAGTTAACAATGTATCGCTCTGAAATTTCAAAAGCAATTCGTCTTTGAATGACATATCAATAACAAAGGCGGCAATTTTCATGTTAATTTCACATGAATTAAAAAGCTGTTAAGAAACTTTTTGTGAAGTTATAGAAAAATTTAATAACTTTAGTAACAATAATAGCTTTTTTTAATAAATTTTACATGTATCTACTACTGTTGTAGGCTGGCATTAGATCTTTTCCGTTATTTTTATTTTTATAATTATTTTCAATATTTTTTGTTTTATACAATATGGCTTTAAGAATTGACGTTTCAGCCCTTTAAAATATACTTTATCAGTACCCTGTAGAGCAGAATAATGGATGATCTCGAAACAGTCAAATTATTTTTAAAAATAACATACAAAATACCCGGCGCGCGCATTAATGCCCCATAGTCTGTAAACAAGACAAAAGTTTCCCTACGCTCGCCAGTATTACCTTTTTGTGTTCATGCTAAGCCTGCTGGTAGCGTAAGTCTCATTTAGTTTTTGCAACTTTCCTGTGGCACTTTATATCTTTAAACATCTTTAGATGCCTAGAAACGAGAAATGATGTAAAGGCACCTGGCTGAGTGAAGAAATAGATGTTTCACAGATGGCGCTACGGCAAAAAGTCTTTAAAAACCAAAAACTAAGCTCTGCAACAAGTACACAAAAAGTTGTAAGGTCCGCTAGTTCGTTCCGTGACTTAGTTAGCATAGCGTCTGGCACAGTTTGCTGGAAGACATTCACAAAAATAATTGAATATCATGGGAGTAAAACATCGTAATATTCAATAAACTTAAAATTACTATTATTTAAGCGACGTCACTAATCAGCCGCTGGTAGCTGTAAAGATACCTGGCTAAGTGAAGAAACATTTTCATAGATTTCTCACAGATGGCGCTACGAAACAAGTAATTAAAACGAAAAACAAAGATCTGCAACAAACACACAGATATATAAATTTCAAAAGGTCTGCTGATTCGCTCAGCTGGTAGTGCGTCAGCGTGTTATGGCGAGGTTACTGGTTTGTGTCAAGCCGGATTGAAGGTATTTTTTCTTTGTGTTTGATCTTTGTACTAACAATTGTCGAACTTGCGGAGTAATTTTACAAAAACAACAAATTTACATTTATGCATTCTTGACAGAAATAATCTATCCTTACAGTCAAACGTAAATTGTATTAATTATAGAACAAAGTTAGGTATCGTGACCAGGTTATGTAAAATAATTTACTATAGACGTACTTTCAATCATCGATTGAAGTATACGGCTTAGAAAATGTTCGATTGTTCGTAACATCTTTAAGGCGGAGTAGAAGCGAATTTCTAACCGACTTCAAAAAAGGAGGAGGTTTTAACTCGACAATATTTTTTTTCTATGTTTGTTACTCGATTGCTCCGATATTTGTGAACCGATTTCGATTATTTTGTTTTTGTTGAAATGGTGGTAGTGGTCCCATTTAAATTATATAAATGAACAAAGTATCTATTACATATTTTTTAGTTTATACAAACTAAATTGATTTTTCATAGAAGCTTGAAGTAAAACATATGGATGCTTAAATGTTTCCCGATGGATACAGCTGACGGTAATAATAATAACGCACACACTCAACATAGCCCTTCACTAGGGAAACTCTGTGTCGCGGGTGCCATGGACACACATAAATAACCACAAATTACACCCAAATTCACGAGAGAAATTAATGTTGGCCATACAAATATTTCTCCCGGCTCGGGAGTCAAACCTGGGACCTCTGCGCAGCAGTCCGGCCGGCAATCCGTTCAGCCACGGAGGCAGTTTATTTGAAAAAAATGTCCCACTTCCTAGGGTGGCAAACTGGTGGTTAAAGACGGTTTATTGAATGTTACCCACTTTCCGTTAACCGATTTCAATACAATTTGGCAAATATGTAGATGTAACAAACACAGCGAATACGGAAAACCAACTTTTGAGGTCAGTTTTTTTTATAACAAATATTGTAAATTTTTGTAATTAGATACGGGTTAAAAAACAAGTCTCGTGTTTCCAGAGAATTTTCGCGTGGTCCCGGGAATTTCCACAGCTGCTGTATCGTACATAATTTGACCGTTACACAATTGACACAAAGTTCATTATGCTATGTACAATTTCTTTAAAAGAATCCGCTAAATTGAATTGAACCTAAACAGCCGTTGGTAGATCTTCCAAGCGCCACGCCTTCAATACAAAAACAATTACAAATGCACAATCAATGGAAAGTATTGTGCAACAAAGTTATTTCTTCTGCGTCAATATACATCGCCATTGCGTTCTTGACGAAGTGGCTCGTGTAAGTCAAGGGCTGATATCACTGTTCTGCTATCACTCTTTTTTAATTAATTAATATTAAAAGCAAAGTAAGACATATACACGAAGACTAACTGACAAAACAAGAAAATAATAATAAAAAGGCGCCAAACACATTTAAATTTCGAATTTCAACCTAAAACTAAATTGATAGAAGACTATAATATCTTCTAGTTTTAAAGGATGGTGAAACTGCAGGCATATGAGATTTTTTATCTCAAGGTGGCGGGCGCATGGCAGTGCCCCTTAGATGTTTGGCGATTGAAAGCTTTAAAGTTCTGAGTTACACTGCAACTGCTATGGACAGGCGTGTCGCTTACCACCAGGCGCACGATTTGTTCGTCCCGTCATTTGTGGCGATTGTTGTGGTTCGCTACACATAATATTAACTTTTTTGGCTTGATATAGTTTATTTATCAGAAAATCTAGATATAAAATAAAATCTTTTGAATACAAATCGGCAATCAATCTAACGGTCCACTTGATGAATTACCGCCACTTATACAATGTTTTACTACATAAGTATCCTTAATAACGCAAATGGGTTTTCAATTTAGGAACGTAGTTGACAGATTGACTGCATGTTTGCAGTTAATGTGTGAAGTCGTAATTAACTTCATGCAGCCGAGAACTCGACTGCATGAAGTTGATAACGATGCATTAATTGCATGCAGTCGAAACTCCACTGCAAGCAGTTGAGAATTCATCTACAAGCGTCGATGTGAACGATAGTCCGAGATTAAAAATTAGTAGTC